AAATTCACAAACTGAGATTGAAGGAAGAATACACATGACTCCTATTTGCTTATCGATGAGTTCAGCTTTAAGTAATCCTAAATTTGGGATGCTCCTTATAGCATCTTTCTCTGCGTGCAGCACAGGGCTTTATTTCAGTTCCTCATCTGCGTGGAGTTTGTATGTTTTCGCCATGAGTGTTGCCTTTAGGTGCTCCAGTTTCCTCTACAGTCCAAGAACATATAGGTGGGATAAATGCCTATAAAACGACTGTTCTTAAAAAGTTACTAAGCCTTAACAAGGAGTTGCGTTCAAATGCGCCCAGCACGGCACGAGGTTTTGGCCCCCATTATGCCCATGCAGAGAAGCATTGATCTCCTGCGTTTGGCATTTAAAGGGCACGTATAGTCTGCGGATTCCCAGTGACATCAATGGTGTAGTGTGGGTGACAGATGTAAGGCTGCCTTTGACCCGGTTTGCCTTCGTCCTATTGAAATGCATTTGCATTGCAGGGAAAAAAAAGCAGCTTGTGTTCATCTGCGTGCAGTTTAGCAGCGCCACACTGGCATGCAAAATGCGACTATCAACGCTGACACCCGTATACATGAGACAGCCCCGGTGTTTTCCTGCAGGCTTTAGAAGAACACAAGCGAAGATCAGAGCATCGGCCCAATGCCATGAATGGTGCCAAGACACATAACAATGGGCATCGGTATGGAGGACCTCCCAGCTAAAGATGGACAGAGCCAGAGCAGAGGGCATTCTGCAGTGACCAGTGCCAAGGACAAGTGGGTTGGAGGGACCCAGCAGGCAGCCATTGTCCTGCCAAGTAGCACCATCAAGTGATTGCCCACATTGTAGAAAATCTGCATTGTTCAACAATTACTACTCAGAAGTTTAATTGATTGTTGGCACCCAATGAGATGTTACACTGGACTGTGTTCCCTTTCATGGCAACTATGAATCTGTTCATCCAATCAATGTTTTATCCTATGGATCAGTATTCTACCCCTGGATTGGTTGTTTTTTTTCACCCCAGGGATCGGCATTTTTCCCCAGGGATCAGAATACTATCCCTATGGATTTTTTTTTACCTATTGGATTGGTAACCTAACCCATAGATTTAAATTTTCCCCCTGGGATCATTATTTTACCCCCTGTATCTGTATAGATTGGTATTTTACCCAATGGATCAGTATTTTGACCTTACCAATTTATTATCGTACCCCAGAGATATGCATTTTTCCCCAGGGATCAGAATACTACCCCCATGGATTTTTTTTTGTTCACCTATTGGATTGGTAATCTAACCCATAGATTTAAATTTTACCCCAGGGATCATTATTTTACCCCCTGTATCGGTATAGATCTGCATAGATTGGTATTTTACCCAATGGATCAGTATTTTGCCCTTACCAATTTGTTATCTTACCCCATGGATCTGTATTCCACCCCATGGATGGGTAATTTAACCAAGGGATTGGTAATTTACATCAGCGATCGGGATTTTACCCCATGGACCAGGTTTTTTTTACCCTAGAGATTGGTAATTTACCCCATGAACCTGTATTTTATCCAATCGGACTGTATTTTGCCCTTTACAAATGTGCTATTTTACCCCCTGGATCTGTACTCCACCCCATGGATCAGTATTTTTCTACATGGGTCAGCATTTTACCCCATGGAAGGGTATTTTAACCTTACTGATCAGTATTCTACCACACCGGTGTTTTACTCCATGGGTTGGTATTATACCCCCTGGATTGTATTCAACCCCATGGATCAGTATATTACATAACGAACCAATATTTTCCCCCATCAGTCTATATTTTACTTTATAGATTCGCATTATATCCCACAGATCAGTATTTCACCGATCATGGGGTAAAGTCCAAATCAATGGTGTAAAACACCAATGCATTTTACCCCACAAATCTATATCTTACCCCAAATATTGCTCTATTTTTATCGCTGTATTTTATTTTATGGATTGGCATTTCACCCCCATTGATCTGTATTTTACCCCACGGATCTGTATTTTACCCCACAAATCTGTATTTTACCCCACGGATCTGTATTTTACCCCACGATCATAGTGCTAAATATCACATGGGTTCATGTGATAAATAACGTGTGATAGATGTAATGAATAAATAACAAATGGTTCCTATGGCAGCTGATGGTTTACATTCTCCTGCCGGCACCAGAAACAGAACAGCTGAAGAAACAGATTACAGCAGCTCGAAGTTCTCTGTCCAGATCCTCAGCCGGCCCAGAATCCTTTGCAACATCTGGAGGGTTTAATGGCCTGAACGGAGAGGAGTATCAGCAGCTGGAAAACGTGCATTGCCTTCATCTGCCACGAAACTGACAACATCCCCGCACCGCGTCCTTCCTGCCGATGAAAGCAGAAAGGAGCCGCGGGGTCCCTGCGTGTTCCACGGTGAGAACACGAGTGCTGGAAAAGCGTTTCGGTTTCCTTTGAGATTCTCCAGAATCCCCACGGTGCAGATGGCTGTCTTCACTTGGCTGAGAGCTTCTACCGTCCCAGCTTTGATATTCCTACGGCATTCCAGCATAGAGGGTCAGATTTTCCACGGCGTGGAGCCAAAGGCCGCCGTGTGAGAAAAGATTTGCGAGCGACATCAGTGACGCTTCACCATTGGCTTAGGGTGCTGTAGAAAATTCTGCCCGTGGCATCTAAACTGGCAGTACAAGATACAAAGAAAACTTATACCTAAACTGCCCCGGGCAATAGTGCTGGGGTTTATTGCCAAAAATGTTTTGCAAGATCAGCTATCTGCCTGCAAAAGTTTATCGGATGCACCCCGGGACACATGGCGCAGTTTTGGTAGGGAATGGTAGGAACAACTTCCAACTCTACCACAAGATATTTTACTCCATGGCTTGCCATTATATCCCATGCATCGATATTTTACCCCATGGATCAGTATTTTACCCCATGAATCAATATTTTACCCCATGGATCAGTATTTTACCCCATGCATCGATATTTTACCCCATGAATCGGTATTTTACCCCCATGGATTGGTATTTTACCCCACGGATTGATATTTTACCCCACGGATTGGTATTTTACCCCACGGATTGGTATTTTACCCCACGGATCGATATTTTACCCCACGGATCGATATTTTACCCCACGGATCGATATTTCACCCCATGGATCGATATTTTACTCCACGGATCGATATTTAACTCCATCAGTCTGTGTTTTATCTTAACGATTGGTATTTTAGGCCACAGATCAGTATTTCACCCCATGGGCTACATGGCGCAGCTTTGGTAGGGAATACTGGGAACACGCCCTATTCTACAACCTGATATTTTACTCCATGGATTAGTATAATAACCCCTAAATCAATATTTTACCCCAATGGATCAAATATTATACCCCCCTTGATCTATATGTTACCCCATGGATCAATATTTTTCCCCATCAGTCTGTATTTAGCCTTACAGATTGGTATTTTAGGCCACAGATCAGTGTTTCACCCCATGGATTACATGGTGCAGTTTTGGTAGGGAATGCTGGGAAAAGGGAACCTTTGAATAAACACCCAAGCAGGCCATAAATGTCTATACTAATGAATGATAAACTGACTATTATGTTGCACCTGACGGGTTAAATTTTATCTTAAGCCAATATTTATTTTATTTTTTTATTGAAATGTAGGGGGTTGGTGCATTCATTTTCTCTATTGGTCTATTTTACCTGGTGAGGGAACATCCAAAATATTCTTGTCATCAGAACAAAGAATGAAGGGGAAATCTTACAATGGGGACTTTTGATTCAGTGGCAACTGTCTGGGGGGGGGGGATTTCCCTCGGTCTGAAGAGATATCCTTTAATACTGTTGTCTCTACAGGAGTGGAAGCAAGTGGAAATTGAAGAAGTGGCGCCTTGTAAACTTCCTTAAAGGAGAACTATGAGGTGAGCGCTTTTCACTCACCTCATAGTTCCAACCGACCTGTGACAATGAGACTGTCACAGGTCGGCTCAGTAGATCGGGAGGTGAGCGAACATATACCGGGGTTCGCTCACCTCTCGATCCTGTCACGGCTCTCTGCTGTGACAGGGGTGTGGCTGGATTCCCCCCTCCCCGCTCCGATCCGCCAGCGCTAACTGGCGGAACGGACAGGGGAAGGGGCGGGTACAGCTGGCTCTGCCTCTAGATAGGCAGAGCCAGCTGTCACTCACGCAGCTGGGCGGATCTCGACATCGATGTCGGGATCCGCTCCGGGTGCGGCGTCTCAGTATACCGCGAGCTGTAGCTCGCAGTATACTGAGCTTAGGGTGACGGGAGGACGCTAGTTTGTGTCCTCCCATTACCCTAAGGAGAACTATGGGGAAAAGCCTTAACCCCATAGATCTCCTTTAATTGTCTTCCAGCTTTTTAGTTACCTTAACAGCACCATGTAGTGTTAATAGGATCTGAAGCTTTTATTGAAATGAAGGATTGAATGTGACTGTGGAGACTGTGCAGTTATCGGTTCGCCATATTACTAAACAACATATATATTCTTGAAGATGCAGCTCCTGGTGGTGGGAGGAAACAGAAGCAACTGGAAGAAGCATGGAGCTAACACAAAAATTCCCTTGTCGGACTTCAATGCAAGACCCTAATGGCCTTGCATAGACCAAGAGCAGACGTCTGTTCATATTTCATGAAAGATAGTATTCCTTGCTGCCGTCTTTACACAACTATACACACAGGATTTATATTTAACATGTTATCTTCAGTATTTGGTTCCATTTTTCATCATGGTGAAATGACCAGGCCGCAGCACCACAAAAATAAATAAATAAATATGCTCTCAGTTGTGGATACAATTTATGCCACGTTGGGCATTTACATTAAAGTGTAAGTCCACCCAAACCTTTAAATCTCTCCAATATAGCCTCAGATATCTGGGCTCTAATCCAACCCCACTCTATCTAAAACTGTCCATGTGTCTGGACATGTACTTTAAGTTAATGCGTTTTGAAAATGCACTCACCTCCAGATTGATGCAGCAGAATATCCGCTGGATTGTGCGGCTTTAGCCCAAGCGCTGACAGAGGTGTCTTTGCCAATCCCGGGGGAGATCGCGCAACTATAGAGAAACACAGAGGAGGAAAACATGAGAACAGCCATTGAGATACACACAGATGCATACAGGGCCGTGTTAAAGAAGATCTCTAATTTAAACAATCTTTTAACTGTAGTATCTAATAGCAAAAAGCTCGTTAGACCAGCAAACTGAGCAAACAGTGTGGCCTGGCAATGGGAAAGCAAATAGAATTTTAGGATGTATCACTAGAGGGACCCTCAGCAGGAGGAAAGAGATCCGATTCCCCTATATAGATCTTTAGTTATCACTAGAGTAATAACTACACATCTATATAGAGGAATCAGGACCTCCTTCCTCCTGCTGGAGATCCCTCTAGTGATAACTAAAGATCTATATAGAGGAATCAGGACCTCCTTCCTCCTGCTGGAGATCCCTCTAGTGATAACTAAAGATCTATATAGAGGAATCAGGACCTCCTTCCTCCTGCTGGAGATCCCTCTAGTGATAACTAAAGATCTATATAGAGGAATCAGGACCTCCTTCCTCCTGCTGGAGATCCCTCTAGTGATAACTAAAGATCTATATAGAGGAATCAGGACCTCCTTCCTCCTGCTGGAGATCCCTCTAGTGATAACTAAAGATCTATATAGAGGAATCAGGACCTCCTTCCTCCTGCTGGAGATCCCTCTAGTGATAACTAAAGATCTATATAGAGGAATCAGGACCTCCTTCCTCCTGCTGGAGATCCCTCTAGTGATAACTAAAGATCTATATAGAGGAATCAGGACCTCCTTCCTCCTGCTGGAGATCCCTCTAGTGATAACTAAAGATCTATATAGAGGAATCAGGACCTCCTTCCTCCTGCTGGAGATCCCTCTAGTGATAACTAAAGATCTATATAGAGGAATCAGGACCTCCTTCCTCCTGCTGGAGATCCCTCTAGTGATAACTAAAGATCTATATAGAGGAATCAGGACCTCCTTCCTCCTGCTGGAGATCCCTCTAGTGATAACTAAAGATCTATATAGAGGAATCAGGACCTCCTTCCTCCTGCTGGAGATCCCTCTAGTGATAACTAAAGATCTATATAGAGGAATCAGGACCTCCTTCCTCCTGCTGGAGATCCCTCTAGTGATAACTAAAGATCTATATAGAGGAATCAGGACCTCCTTCCTCCTGCTGGAGATCCCTCTAGTGATAACTAAAGATCTATATAGAGGAATCAGGACCTCCTTCCTCCTGCTGGAGATCCCTCTAGTGATAACTAAAGATCTATATAGAGGAATCAGGACCTCCTTCCTCCTGCTGGAGATCCCTCTAGTGATAACTAAAGATCTATATAGAGGAATCAGGACCTCCTTCCTCCTGCTGGAGATCCCTCTAGTGATAACTAAAGATCTATATAGAGGAATCAGGACCTCCTTCCTCCTGCTGGAGATCCCTCTAGTGATAACTAAAGATCTATATAGAGGAATCAGGACCTCCTTCCTCCTGCTGGAGATCCCTCTAGTGATAACTAAAGATCTATATAGAGGAATCAGGACCTCCTTCCTCCTGCTGGAGATCCCTCTAGTGATAACTAAAGATCTATATAGAGGAATCAGGACCTCCTTCCTCCTGCTGGAGATCCCTCTAGTGATAACTAAAGATCTATATAGAGGAATCAGGACCTCCTTCCTCCTGCTGGAGATCCCTCTAGTGATAACTAAAGATCTATATAGAGGAATCAGGACCTCCTTCCTCCTGCTGGAGATCCCTCTAGTGATAACTAAAGATCTATATAGAGGAATCAGGACCTCCTTCCTCCTGCTGGAGATCCCTCTAGTGATAACTAAAGATCTATATAGAGGAATCAGGACCTCCTTCCTCCTGCTGGAGATCCCTCTAGTGATAACTAAAGATCTATATAGAGGAATCAGGACCTCCTTCCTCCTGCTGGAGATCCCTCTAGTGATAACTAAAGATCTATATAGAGGAATCAGGACCTCCTTCCTCCTGCTGGAGATCCCTCTAGTGATAACTAAAGATCTATATAGAGGAATCAGGACCTCCTTCCTCCTGCTGGAGATCCCTCTAGTGATAACTAAAGATCTATATAGAGGAATCAGGACCTCCTTCCTCCTGCTGGAGATCCCTCTAGTGATAACTAAAGATCTATATAGAGGAATCAGGACCTCCTTCCTCCTGCTGGAGATCCCTCTAGTGATAACTAAAGATCTATATAGAGGAATCAGGACCTCCTTCCTCCTGATGTAGATCCCTCTTACAATGTGGACCTCCTGATGTAGATCCCTCTTAGACTTACAATCTAAACATAGATCTATACTCTGACAAAAAGGTAATACAAGTAATTTAAAAAAAAGAGGGCGGACTCGATGGAGCACCTGGTCTTTTTTTGCCATCACTATTTCCATATGAACACACTGGGATAGAGTGCCGTCTATAAGCAACATGAAGGAGATTGAGCAACTAGGAACTCTTTGGACGCTGCACTCTGTCAGATACATGTTTTCCTTAATAGGCCAATTGTAGAGAACAGAGAAGAGCTCTGATGATGGATGTTGAATGCGAGAACAAGCTAATTCCAGACATTCTGCTGTTTCCTGACACAATAACTCTGTTATTCAGCCTCAGGAATGTTTCCAGTCCCCACTCAGTGAAAAGAGAGAGATCGGAATATGACATCTCCACCCTCTCTGTCAGGATCAGCGTTCTCCCTCTTTGTGTATTCTGAGCTGGGCAGTTCTGTAGAAATTTCCAATGTCCTCCAACTGCTGAGGAGCTACAAGTCCCAGCAGGTCCTGGAGTCACACAAGCCTAGATGCAAAGCGCGGTACGCACACCAACCAACCAATCAATTCAAACTACTGCCAGAGGTTTCAGAATGAGCGGCACCAGCAATGCACGACTGATGGATTAGTCAATTACGTCCCTCTGTTAAAAACCTCAATGAACACACGGACTGCGCGACATGGATTTAAATGGCCACAGCAGTTACCCAAAATAATAACCAAAATAACATACAAATAAATAACCTGAATGACTGTTGGATCCGAGAAGGGGTCTTTGCGTGCCCATCAGCCAAAATAAGGCCTCTACTAAAACAACTCCGATGTCCCCAGCCGCACCCCCACCAGCTCAAGGACAGATACTGCTTTCCAAGTTCCAAGGGGCCAGACCCCCAACAAATACCGACACCAACAGGGGGAGGGAGCACCATACCAGCTCACATTTCTAGACCCCCAAAGACCCCTTAACCCGCCCAGCTGCCGTGACATAAAGAACCATTCCAACTGCCACCAACTGCACAAAATGAGGGGAGGGCGGGCGGGACAACCTGCTTCCTCTGTCGATTTTCCGGAAAGATTACATATCGCCGCGAACGTCGCAGTGAGAGCAATCATTTTAGGGCCATCAATCACTGATAACACTAAACTGATGAGCGGTAACAGCTTTTAAAGCGTCGCCTATGGTCAATTTTGGGTATTATCGTTTTTTGAGGTTTCGCGCGCGCACGCAATTTTAAGGCTTGACATGTTTAGTGTCTTTTTACCCGACGTGACCCCATCTTTTATATTTTACCAAAAAATTGGGTAATAATAAATGTTTTATCATTTAATATAGGGGAAACTGTTTTTTTTTTTTTTAAATTTCGGTGATTTTTCCTTAATATAGTAAAAAAATAAAACCCCCAGTGGTGAATAAATACCACCAAAAGAAAGCTCTGTCTGTCCCCAAAAAAGGGTATAAAATTCATTTCAGTACAGCGCTGCATGACGGAATAAATGTCAGTCAAAGTAACGCAGCGCTGAACACTGAAAAATGGCCTGGATGGGAAGGGGGTTTAACACCGCGGATGTCAACTGGTTAATGCACACGGTACTGCAACACGGAAAAATAAATGATCCATAAAAGATGCAAGTGTTGTATTTCTAATGATCGGACTCTTTAGAGGCCCCGACACGCTCTTCCGTACAGAAGAACACTGATGCAAGCATCTTTTATTGATAACAGGATTTGCTGGTGAGCTTTCAATTAGAACCCATAACATTCTTGGCCAGAGATAAACAGCAAAGAAGATTCTGGAACGGGATTCACGGACACATCAGCAGGAAATCAATATGTGATGGAGAAGTTGGATCGGGAATAAAAAATAAAACATTGTTTGGATCTGAATAATAGATACCTTAGAATAAGCATCTGGGCCCCCCAAGACGCTGAAGGACAACAAGTCCAAGTATGCCTTATGGCTGTGCAACGGGGGAGCAAGAATGGAAATATTCAGACACATGTATGTTTCTTTAATAAAATAGATCTAAAGCCGATCATTACAATCTAATTTAAACTTTAAAAGGAGAATTATGAGGTGAGTGATTTTCACTCAGCCTCATAATCTGAGCCGACCTGTGACAATGAGACTGTCACAGGTCGGCTCAGTAGATTGGGAAGTGAGCGAACACATACCGTCGCTCGCTCACTTCTCGATCTATCCCTGTAGAGAGCCGTGACTGTCACTCACGGCTCTCTGCAGGGATTCCCCCTCCCCTGTCCGATCCTCCAGCGCTGACTGGTGGAACGGACGGGGGAGGGGGCGGGCACAGCTGGCTCTGCCTCTGGATAGGCAGAGCCAGCTGTCAATCACGCAGCTGGGTGGATCCAGACAGTAATGTCGGGATCCGTCCCAGCTGCGGTGTCTGAGCTTTGGGTGACGGGAGGACGCTAGTTAGTGTTCTCCCGGGGCCCCTTAGGAGAACTATGGGGAAAAGCCCTGACCCCATAGTTCTCCTTTAAAGCTGATTTAAGGGGAAAGTCAAAAAACTGCAGTGGGGCTCCCCCAAAAACGCAAGGGTTATATACTCATCTTCTGTCCTAAGGTACCATTGAAAAGCAGTTTTACTTACCTAACCCCCTCGCCTCCCCGGCATTTGATGCTCTCCCCTTCCCTCCAATGACCGGGGTTGTGGGCAGGCCCTTGGCGTCCTCACTTACAATGCAGGACTGCTGGTCCTGCATTGTATGTGACGACATCAGAGTGCGACCGATAGACAGAGTGTCAAAGAGAATATGATTTGGGGGACCATGGGGATGCATGGAAGGAGGACCTGTGTGATTGGGGATAAAGTAGATAAAACGACTTATTATTGGTACCGTGGAAAAAAATGGCATTTAACCCTTGTGGGGAAGCCCAGATTTCAGCTTTAAAGTGACATTAAACCCTCAGATTTTGTAACATAAAACAATAGTGTAATGTGCGCCTTACTGTAATCCATGGTTGTTTCCCTTCTCTTTGCTGCTCTTCCTTTTAAATCCGTATCTCTTCTCATGCTGGGGGAGAACTTCCCTTTGCAGCAGACTGCCTTGTCTCTGGAATGGATACATGGTGTCTGTGTGAAGGTTCACAACCTGAGCCAGCACTACAGGAAGAGGCACTCAGCTGCACAGGGAAGTTCTCCCCCAGCATGAGAAGACATGAGGATTTAAAAGGAAGAGCAGCAAAGAGAAGGGAAACTACCATGGACTACAGTAAGGCGCACATTACAGTATTGGTTATGTTAAAAAATCTGAGAGTTTAATGTCACTTTAACATTGTAATGTCATTTCCAAGGTTGTGTTCAAACTCTTTAAATCGGCAGATTTTTATGAAAAGAATATCTGGTGATCCTGCCATGAAGGCCTTTTTCAGGCACTTCCTGTTGGGGGGGGGGGGGGGGGAACT